GGGGGGGGTAATTCAGTGACGCATTTGGCACAGAATGGTGGTGTTACTTTTGCATGAGCTTGTTGAGTTGTATCAGGTCATCCCCTTCCTGGCCCTATTGACTGTGGCTGGGGCATCCCCTGCCCCTTTGTTATGTGATTCTGTGGGGCGAGGAATGGCCTGGCTGCAGCTGATTGCACTGGGAGAGGGATGCGTCACTGACAGTTTTGTGTGGGCCCGGGCGAACTCTGTAAGCACGTTCTAGAACACTGTGCACCACTAGCTACCAACAAGGTGGGCGGTTGGCCCTGTCTGTGCACACTGAAGGGTATTGTTTGCAAGTAGCACCAGACAAATGTTGCGTCACCCCAACAACCGGTACGTGAATTTGTCACACATTGCGCCATTTGTAACGGATTTCTATTGAGCATGTACAAGACTCTTTATGAGTTCCAGGGATTGTGTATTCAATAGAATCTACTAATTGCACCCTTTTATCCAGTGAGACTCGGGCGGTACCAGCTGATGGTTATTGCTTTTTCTCTGCAGCATCGAGGTGGTTGGCTGATCCCCTTTTTCTGCTATCAGCTGTTTGATTTTGCCTTGACGTGTCTGCTTGCAATCAGTTCCCTCACATACCTGCCTGGCATTAAAGATTACTTGGAGCAGCTGGTAAGTTCCTCATTGTCCATGCGCGTTGTTTGTGAAGTGCTGGATTTGTTGCTGAGGCGATGGGTTAGTATTGTGTGTAATTGAATGCATTTCCACTAGACATTGAAGCTAGAGATATTCTGGATTCGATTCAAGAAAACCAAGCCGGGATTTTTTGGAATGCAGCAAAGGAACCGTTCACCAAAGGGGAAGCCGCGCCATTTTTGCTTTCATTTTCTATAGGAGCGATCATCAGAGCCTTGCGGCTGGGCAGCGCTACCGGTTATATTGGAAAGGACTGTGCCCCCTACTGAATAGTTATACAAGATTCCATACTCTGAGGCCCGGGGGAGACTTACGCGATCCGGGATCGCGTGGTCTTGCACAATGCAGGCCACGATTGCCTGAATGATTTCAATGGGGTGACATCTGCGCGGCAATCGCAGAAAAAAGGTACACGTGCCTTTTTTTTTTTCTTTTTTTTTTTTCCTGCGATACACGACGCGCGTCGGCACGGGCAGAATCGTGGCGGGAAACCGCGTGATCCGCCTGGCGCGGCTGGGGTGCCATTAGAAGATAATGGCACCCACAGCGCGATTGGTGCACCTAAGCGACTCCTGACTGCGTGGCAATCGCGCATGATTGCCGCGCGGTGAGGTGTCGCTTAGCTGTGCACCAGCCCTGAATGTGTCCTGCAAGTCCTACAGGATAAATCATGCTGGTTAAAGAAGAACTCTGGGCAGAAATTGTATTAACCCTTGCATTAAGGCTACCCATTTCAGTCACATTGCAAAGATATCCTCTCACTTCCTGTCGAGTCTGCGGGACCAGAAGTAAAGGGAAATCTCCCTACTGAGACAAAGATTGAAGAATCCATAAAAGTGAATGGGAACACCTAAAGCAGGCCTTACACTATGTGAAGTTTGGCCGGTTCTTGATGATCTGTTTGAAATTTGCACACTGGGTGTTGCTGTTGGCACCCTTTCGGCCGGGAATCCCTCAATCAGCTGATCCAAGAACCTGGTCGGAAAATCTTCCTATGAACAGAGCTGTCAGCCTGATGCCGGCTCTGTTCAGGTATTCTGACAGCGGGCGCCAGCTGCTGTCAGCCTGTGAGATGCCGGCTCCGTTCAGGTATTCTGACAGCGGGCGCCAGCTGCTGTCAGCCTGTGAGATGCCGGCTCCGTTCAGGTATTCTGACAGCGGGCGCCAGCTGCGGTCAGCCTGTGAGATGCCGGCTCCGTTCAGGTATTCTGACAGCGGGCGCCAGCTGCTTTCAGACTACAATGAAGACAGCAGGAAGTGCTGATGGAGGAATCTGTTCTACTTTTTTTTGTTCAGTCTGTGGGCTGAACGAGAAAAATTGAACCGTGTATGGCCAGCTGAAAACTCCCCAGTAGACAGTAGCAGACTTGGGAATTATGAGAGGAAAGCCTCGCTGTTGAAGTATCCAAGACTTGAAAGAAGCCAGGGACTGAAATGGCCCACCAGCCTCTCCTTATAACTAACATCACTTTTGGGTGGACTGATCCTTTAAAGTAGAACTGAAGCCAAAACTTTTGTTTTTGGCTAAGGGGGATTTATATGCTCCTGTAAGCGTTTTCTTGCCTTCTGCTTCCCTTTGGGGAGATTTCCCTCCACTTCCTGCCCAATAGCCACAGCAGGAAGTGAAGGGAAATCCTCAGAATGAATATCCCCATTAGAAGATTTCCATCTATTCCTGTTCTGGTGACAACCCAGGAACACAAACCGCAATCAAAACATGACAGGGGTTCTAATCCCTCTCCACTCTTTCCAAAACAAAGTTGAGGCTTCAGTTGCATTTAAACAGTTTGTTTTTTTCTGATGGAAACTGTTGCCTTTTCCTGAAATTGGTTTGGGGTTACATGGTCACTACGGGTTAAAGTCATTCATGATGCAGTTATATTTCTTAAGGCTGGGTTCACACCTAGGCGTATTGAATATGCGCGTTTGTCGCGCGTTTCGCGACGCACGTTTCCGTGGGCTACTTGGCTGTATCCCAATGGAAACGCGAGACCAAAACGCCCCAAAGAAGTACATGTACTTCTTTGGGCGTAGGCCGTTTTGTAGCGCGTTCAGACGGGCGGAAATACGGCAAGGTGTGAACCATACCCATAGGAAATAATGGGATTTCGGTGTTTGAGCGTTTTGCAGAGCGTTCGAACGCGCTACAAAACGTACAGGTGTGAACCACGCCTTATAGATTAATAACGGTTATTTCCCCGTCTATCATGTTTTTATATTTTAACTTTTTTGTCTGATTTGCTGTTCCCTCTGCAGCCTGAATTTCCATATAAAGATGACTTGCTGGCGATGGACTCCAGTTGTCTGCTCTTCATCGTCCTGGTTGTGGGAGCTTTCATCATCATCCTGAAGGTAAAGCGGATTAGATCTATAGACAGATTCCAGGGAGTCCCTTTGGTGAAGATTTTGGCTTGACCTTGTTATACGTTTGTCCGTCCCTGCTTCATGAATACACATAATATCCTGGGTACATGTATGGGGGGGGGGGGGCTATTATTAAACACCTCGACATTACAGGAACATGCGCAATAACGTATTACAGTAGATCTAAACCCAGCCATGTAAATCTCCTACACCTTTTATCATGTTAAAGGGTAATTCCACTTTCCCAGGTGAATTTGGGAAAGCTGCTCATGTTTCCCAATTGCTCTCCTGTCAATCGGTGACATGCAGCTGCGACTGGAGCATTCATACACAAGTTGTAAGGAGGCTGCAGGAGATCAGCATTGAGATGCATTAAAGGTTTTTTTTTCACTTTAGAGAAAGTGGGACTTTTTTGCCTAATGAGGTAGAGAGAGATGTTCTGTTGGGTTTTTCCTGCATTCTGTGTTTCCATTGAGAACATTTGCCCTCACTTCCTGTCTCTGTGACACCTGTAGGAAGAAGACGCTTTAAGACGCGACACATACCACAACAAAAAAACCTGACACATTCTAAATTTTCTAATGAATAGTTTTATATCTGTGTCCCTGCTGAGGAGTTATTTCCTCACCTCCCGTCCCAGTAATATGGAAGGGAAAGCTTCCTGACATCAGTAAAACATTGATCGATATTCCCGCTCCTTTTATAGAAACATATTTGACTGCTGTTGGTACGTTATTCGCGGTGCATTGTGTCTTGCCGTGGTTTTACTGCGATCTTTGCCACATTCCATATTTTTTTTTTTTAAAGCTTACAATGGGTTTCAGGTGCGGTCCAGTGCGTTTGCATGTGTTTGATGCGTTCCAGTGCATTTCAGACCAGACAAAATGAGACCTGCAGTATTTTTCTGGTCTGGTCTGGTCTAGAACGGACTGCGCTGGTGTGAACAGAGGCCAGAAATAGCATAGGGATTCACTAGGATGCATTTTGGGTCTGGAAACCATCTGGTCTGGTCCAGAGATGATCTGGATGTGATGTGAATGGGTCCTCAAACATTATTAGTAGCATTGCTGTGATAGAATGCAGCTGACACTTCGAGCTCCCTTCATTGGTGATCATGTGACCCAATGCCTAGGCATTCCAGAAGCACATCTGTCAGGTTCTATTAGTTACCCATACTTTTATTTCTGCAGTTATTTGCCATGTTGGGTTGATTTACTTGTATGTACCAGATCTGCGCCCTATTATGATGATGTTTAAGTTGCCTTTGACGATGGTGTAAATTAGTGTAAAGTATATTAGTGTAAAGTATATTAGTGTAAAGTATATTAGTGTAAAGTATATTAGTGTAAAGTATATTAGTGTAAAGTATATTAGTGTAACGTATATTAGTGTAACGTATATTAGTGTAACGTATATTAGTGTATTGACATAAATGCTGTTATAAATGACTCCCGCCGTGTTCTTATTCATTCTGATGAACGTGTCCTGTATGCTTTGTGTCCGCAGGCCTATCTGATTAATGTTGTGTGGAACTGCTACAAATTCATCAACAATCGAAACCTCCCTGAGATCGCAGTGTATCCTGCATTCGAAACCCCTCCACAGGTATGAGAACGCGTCCTCCTTGACTTCTTGTATGAAAGATGTAAAAAGGTGAAATGTTGTGATCTTTGGAATAGTGGCCCATCTGATACCACCCCACCTATGTCAGACTCTCGGCAGATAGTGGCCCCATAGTGTAATCCTCCTTATCTCTTGGGGCAGAGCTGGGATGGGTTATGCTGTTCAGCCACTAGGAGCTCATCTCCAATGCACCATGGAGGACTTGTCCTTGATGGACTCTGTAGCCCCCATTCATGGCGACTCATTTTTATTTTTAACTTTAAGGAGAACTATGGGGTTAAGTCCTTTTCCCCATAATTCTCCTTAGGGTAATGGGAGGACACAAACTAGCGTCCTCCCGTCACCCTAGTCTCAGTATACCACGAGCTGTAGCTCGCGGTATACTGAGACGCCACAGTATACCGCGAGCAGCTGAAGCAGATCCCGCCGATTGTGCCGGGATCCGCCCAGCTGCGTGACTGACAGCTGGCTCTGCCTATCTAGTGGCAGAGCCAGCTGTACCCGCCCCCTCCCCGGTCCGTTCCGCCAGTCAGCGCTGGAGGATTGGAGCGGGGAGGGGGGAATCCAGCCCCTCCCCTGTCACGGCAGAGAGCCGTGGCAGGATCGAGAAGTGAGCGAGTACTCACCCAAATGCTGCCGGTGCTTATCCCAAAACCAGAACTTCCTGCATCAGGAAGCCGGGAGGCGAGACCTTACCCACTGCACGACTTCCTGATTGGCTGGGAAGCAGTCTCCATGCTCTATCGTCACTTGGTGACGGGAGGGTATGGAGATGGCTTCCCGGCTAAATGGGAAGTGGGGCGGCGAGTCATTACACACACCCGGCTTCCATGCTGTAACTTTCGGTATCGTCGAGTAGCGAAAACAAAAGAATATCGGTACTCTTATTCGATACCAAACAAACGGTTTTGGTTGATCCCTATTAGATGCACGAGGCTAAGTCATTAATGGTCAAGAGTACAAACAGTGAAAATCCATAATGAGCTCTTCAATACCTGTATACAGGGGACCACATTAATGGCATAAAGTCCCAATGTCATCCCCATGCTCGCTAAAGACCTGCAGATACATGTTCTTGTTTCCCTAACAGCTGAGGAATATAACAGTAAACATAGAGGGGGGGACTTATCAAAACTGGAGCTGATAGAATCTGGAGCCCATGGCAACCAATCGGCTTCTCTCTTCCGTTTGCTCAAGTATGATTTGAAAATGAGACAGAGAAGCTGATTGGTTGCAGTGCAAATCTGCTCCATTTTGTCTGCTTCAGTTTTTATACGCCTCCCCCCGCCCAGAGTATTTGAAGGCAAAAACCAGAACTAAGATGGGAATAAAAAGAAAAAGGAAATAAATGAAAGAAAAAGAACTATTGGGGGAAATGGACCCAAACAGGTCCTCCCCAACTCACCCGGGAAAAACTGCCGCTGCCGTCCTATATTTGAAGGCACAAGCTGTGGGGCTGTCCTTGTACGTCTCTGCTTGGAAGGTTGGAGTCCCTGGCTGCTTCCTTGGTCAGGAGCCAAGGGTAAGGGCTCTGGAGCTGGCACCTTCAAATATAAGTCAGCAGTTGCAGCTTCCAGATGTTACCCGGAGAAGTTGCTTTTGCTGAGTTGGTAGATCTCGAGTCTTCTGATCCACTAAGGCCGGGAAGTAGAGACAGCCACCTTGCATCGCGAGTATAGCAACCAGACCAATTCCAGTGCCTTGTTAGTTTGAATCTGTGACTTGTAGTCTGTGTATGAACGTTTGTGATTTGTGGTGGATTATGGAGGACTATGTATGTGATTTGTGGTGGATTATGGTGGACTATGTATGTGATTTGTGGTGGATTATGGTGGACTATGTATGTGATTTGTGGTGGATTATGGTGGACTATGTATATGATTTGTGGTGGATTATGGTGGACTATGTATATGATTTGTGGTGGATTATGGTGGATTACGTTTGTGATTTGTGGTGCTGACTACTCTGAACTCTTGCAGTACATCTTGCCTACGTATGAGATGGCCATAAAGATGCCAGAGAAGGAGAAGGACCCTCCACCTCCATACATCCAGACCAGCGAAGCCTCATAACCTCGTCTGATGTGTCTTTTCATACCGCTGAATGGAGAGCCCGAGTTTTCCCATCATGGTTCTGCTCATCCCACATGATAATGATTAAACCGAGACCTTATTTTTATATAACACGACGCTTCTATTGCCTTACTCTTACAATGAGAAAGAACGACTATTACTTCTGACAATCTCTTATTTGATTCTAGTTTACATGAGTAGTAGTATTTTTGTTGGGGGGTGTAAAGACAATTAGGGGAACTTTTTATTATATTTCAACTTTTGTTGTTTTTTTTTTTTTGTGTTGCGATATTTGCTTTGTTGTCTTTTCATGCCTTAACCCTGTCCCTTCCGGACTGCTATGCTCCATATTGCTGGCAATGCATTGGTGTTCCACCCAGCAGTGAGGGCATACACCAAGAAAGTATTTTCTTGAGTAAAATTTAAAATAAAAAGGAAAAAAAACCCCATTTAGTTGGGAGTGTGTTTGTTGTTTTACAGAATGCCGCTGTGCTCGCGGAACTTCTCACTTGTCTGTCATCTGAGATTTTTTGATTAATAAATTTGTCTTAAAATCTTCTGGAGTGTTTGTCTTCCTGGACGATCCGTTCTCTACGTATCATGGTGGTGTGTGATATCCATTCCATTAAAAGCTGTTCAATGTTCGGGGACAATTTAAAGGGAACATATGTTTCCGAAAAAAAATTCTAACATTTTTTTTTTCCTAAACTTCTTTTTTTTTTTTTTTCTTAAATTCCTTCTGTGATTGCTAAATATTTATTAGCCGCATTGGCCACTTCCAGCGAACCTGACCGTGCAACAGAAAGCTGCATCCGGTTTAGTGTTCCATCGTTGTTCTGGGACAGTTATTCAGAACTGTATCATAGGGCTGCAACAACTAATCGACATAATCGATTATTGAAAAAGTTGTCAACTTTTTCAATAATCGATTAATCGGCTTCCGATCAGTTGGCCTTGTTTACAGCTCCACACGCTGTGCGCCGCACCTCCTCCCCACCTCACGCTCGCCGCTGCCAGACCCGCTCGCATCCACGCTCCACACACCACACCTCCTCCCCGCCTCACATTTCCTGCCCATCCACGATCGGCAAGGCACGCGGGGAGATGTAGTAAGGAGGAGCAGGGGTGGGGGGATGACAGCAAAAATCTGGGTCTGAACGTGCGAATTGTGGCCGTCAGCGACTAGTCAATGTTAGGGCAGAACGGAGAGTGGCAAGACTGGTACAAGACAACAGAAGGGCAACAGTGCAGTATCAGATTCCTCGCATCACCTTTCACCATCTCGTGGAGTCATCTCGTGGCCCAACGAAGTACTGATGGGGTGGTCATAATAATTCTGCCACTCAGTGTATATCTTGCAGCACTCCTTACCGGATTTGTTGTAAATTACAAGTGGGTGCTAGCGGTGACCACGGGTGCACCGTGCGAAAATGTGAAGTAGAAAAGGATGTCACCAGCACACCGAGCTCTAGTGTTCAGAGAGCCCTCAATCTCTTTTTCGGCAGCCTCTGTTATAAATCCTCTATACTGAGTGTTCCTGTTCATTCATAACATGAGGACAGAGTGTGTTTTACTATATCTACAATCATGAATGAACAGGAGGGGATGTAGATCACTCCCATTCATTCATAATTGAGGATATAGTAACCATACTCTGTCCTCAATTATGTACAAACACTCAGCGATCAGTGACTGTTTGTACCGCTCTATCCTGGATCGGCTGTCACAGGAGGCAGAGCAGGTGGTGTTGGGAGAAGAGCTCAGTCTATTTTGACAGCTGACTCCTCCCCCTCACTGCTGGTTTGGCCTCCTGTGACAGCTGTCTCTGCCCACACACTGCTCTCCATCCTGATTGGTCAGAGGAGGCTGTGGGAGGAGAGGCACGGCCTCTTGTGGCACTCCGGGTGTTCACAGTGCTCTCCTCCCCTCACCGCTCGGCCTGCTGTGCTCTGCCAGAGGGGACACAGAGCAGCGCCCAGTGTGGAGGGGGGAAACCAGGCATACACCGCAATTTTGGCAAAATCCCGAAAGTGCCATTTTCGGACGATATGTTTCGGCAATTTCGGTGCGTCCCTAGTTTTTGATAATTTTTCCAGCCTTCATTTTTAAAGCGATATTAAAGTCAAAAAGGTGTTTAAGCTATTTTAAATGCTGATGCAATCACTTACAATCGATGAGCTTCCTGCAGAATCAACTGGCCCTGATATCCGGTTTTAGGGTGACTCCTTTCCCTTGCAAGGCCCTATGGAGCCACCCTTGTGTGTGCTAGTAAGCTGTGTGTGTGTGTCTCCACAAACATGGGCACAGCAAGGTAAGTCATTCCTCTCTCATCCTTCCTTCCTCCTACCTTCTCCAAGCTAGTAGATGGACGACTGCTGGATCTGCTCCATTCCTTGTGATCTTGTACTGGACAGGAAGTTCAGAGAAGCTGAGCTGAAAGAGCTGGAGCTGTTTGGAAACATAATGACTAAGTGCTTGGACGAAAATGTAAAGAAATAGTTTGCTGGGCCATGTGTATTTGATTTGGATTATTTATTTTTAAAAAATTAGGTTAATACTTCTTTAAACATAAAGATTTGTAAACTATAAAAATAAAATCTCCATATTAATATATATAAATTGATACTTTATCACACAGCGATGTAGTGTCTTAGTCCGTAGGGTTCAGTATTGAGTTGGCCCACCCTTTGCAGCTATAACAGCTTCAACTCTTCTGGGAAGGCGTCCACAAGGTTTAGGAGTGTGTCTATGGGAATGTTGGACCATTTGTGAGGTCAGGTACTGATGTTGGGGGAGAAGGCCGGGCTCACAGTCTCCGCTCTAATTCATCCCAAAGGTGTTCTATTGGGTTGGGGTCAGGACTCTGTGCAGGCCAGTCAAGTTCCTCCACCCCAAACTCCCCCATCCATGTCTTTATGGACCTTGCTTTGTGGTGGACTGGTGCACAGTCATGTTGGAACAGGAAGGGGCCGTCCCCAAACTCCTCCCACAAAGTTGGGAGCATGAAATTGTCCAAAATGTCTTGGTGTGCTGATGCCTTAGAGGAGAACTATGAGGTGAGTGCTTTTCACTCACCTCATAGTTCTAGCCGACCTGTGACAATGAGACTGTCACAGGTCGGCTCAGTAGATCGGGAGGTGAGCGAACACATACCGGCGTTCTCTCACTTCTCGATCTCTCTGCCGTGACAGGGGAGGGGCTGGATTCCCTGCTCCGATCCTCCAGCGCTGACTGGCAGAACGGGAGGGGGCGGGTACAGCGGGCTCTGTGTAATGTGCCTGGGTTCTAGGACTGGAGAATGGATCACAGCTGCGGAATTGAGGCTAGGGTTAGGTATGGCAATCAGGCTCGAACCCCAGGCGTCTCTGTCAATCTTAACGGAGAGTGAGGGGTTCTTGCATCATCTGCCACAAATGAGGAGTGTAGGTATAAACCATATAGTGGTATTTCAGTTCATAACACCATGGGTCAGGATACACAAAGGTAGATACAAGGAACTAGATAACAGGTCTAATGCAGGGTTATGATTTGGCACAAATGTTAACAGGAATAAATGATGAAGCCAGTGTTGAAGCGTATAGCAGTGGACCCTTTGCCAGAGGGGTTAGAGTGACAGACAGTCCAGCAAGCTAAGTGCCAATCCCCCTCCAGTACAATACTTGCAGTTGGCAGCAGGCAGGATAGAGGAAACACGAGATCCAGCAGTAAGAAGGCTCCTGGCATCTGTAGGGCATCAAGCTCAATAGTGGAACGCTTCCATAGCGTTCACAAGAGCTATTTATAGTCCGCGAACGCGGAAGTGATACCGGCCGTGACCACGGTGGAGAGCAGGGAACCTCCCCCTCTGAGAGGTAAGCGCCCTGCGTGACGCGGCCGATGCGTTCCACGTTGGAACGCAGACGGCTCACGGCAGGCAAGGATGTTACACTCTGCCTTTAGATAGGCAGAGCAAGCTGTCAGTCACACAGCTGGGCGAATCCCGGCATAATTGTTGGGATCCTCTTCAGCTGCAGCGTCTCAGTATACCGCGAGCAGCAGCTCGCAGTATACTGAGCTTAGGGTGACGGGAGGACGCTAACATTTCAAGTGCCGCAAAAGCACTATGTTACCAAGGGGGATCAGACTACAAGGCAACATCTCCGATTCTTCATGTAGTAAAGTATTTTCCTTACAATTCTGCTGCTCCCCTTAGTGATGGGCCTGCCTTCCTGTTTCAGGGTGGCTCCTCCCCCTTGCAGGGTTGTATGGAGCCACCCTCCTTTCAGGAGCACTCCTAGGATCAGATTACAAGTCATCATGTCTGATTCTTCATGTAGTATAGTTGTCCTTTCCCTCTGATTCTGCTGGTCCCCCTTAGTGATTGGCCTGCCTTCCTGTTTCAGGGTCCTATGGAGCCACCCTTCTTTCAGGAGCACTCCCGGGATCAGACTTCCTATGCTGACTTGCACAGGCAGCCTGAGAGAAGAACCCACAAAAGAAACTCCTGTTCACCTCCTCCAATGAAATTGATGGCGGCTTCCGAGGGGCTGCCTGATGAGTCCCTGTCAATCACTTCCTTTGGAGGAGGAGCAGAGGCGTGCCTTGGTGTGTAATCTGGGCTGTCAGTGCAGGTAGGCGCAGGCAGCGTCTAGACCTTAGGCAGTTTTTATGAATGCTGGAGCACGCATGTGCGTTGAATTATGGGACATGTAGTCCCAAGCTTTGTTATGAGTGCACGCTTCCCCACCTGGAATTTCAGGGAACCAATGCTGCAAAATAGCCAAGAAGTAATTGCGGACATTGCTGAACGCAATCATTTACTGCGATGTGCTAATTCACCCCAAACCGCCGTGTCTCTGATGAAACGCACGGGGGCTTCACTACTACTTTAGATCGTTTCGTAGCAAGAGAATTAAATTGCCAGTGTAGCCCAAGGCCATAGATGAGACTTAGGGCTTGTTCACACCAAATGCGGACCAGATCTGCATGAGTTTCTGCACACGCAGTGCAGTGTGTTTTGCCGCGTTCCGTTTTTTTTTAACCTAAAATGGGCTTTCAGTGCGTTCCAGGGCATTTGCATGCGTTCCAGAGCAGGAAAAATAGGGCTTGCTGCAGTTTTTTTTTTACATGCTCTGGAACTAAACGCTGCGGTGTGAACTAGAGCCCAAAATACCATTGGAATACATTGGACGCAGTTTTGAGCCGTTCTGTAACTGCTCTGCTCCTGGAACGCGCTTCGTGTGAACTAGCCCTGAGCGTTTTACATTGAAAGTCACAAAAGACTTCTCAGCCTCTCCCCAGCCTGAAATGGCTGATCACTGAGAACAATAAGTTCCATTCTTCAGCACAGAAAATGTTAGCGGCGTGTGAAATACTTCATGTGGTTTTTTTGGTTGTTTTTTATTTGCAAAGCTCTTGTTTGGGTCTATGGCTCTGTAAGGGTCATTCTCCTTGCACACATATTGGGATGTTAGGTTTTGGGAGGCACAGGATTGGTTTTCCACTGGTGCACAGAACTCAGGAAGAATGGGCGGAGCTTCCGATGGTCAGTGCTGGGTTACTAGACACCTGGCAGTCAGCTTTCTGCATACACTATCTGTCTTTGTAGGCACTTTGCAGAGAGAATCCGTGTCTGTGTGTGCTCGGCAGCATGAATCCCTTGCTGAGCCGAGCTGTGCCCTTTGTGTTTGTCTTTCTGCTGGTGGCTGTTCATGGGACTTATTACAGGATGTATGGATACCCGATACAAAGGAGCTACATCTTCCCTGCTCCTCCTCTGGTCCATGGCAGTGCAGTGCTCCCAGTGCCCAGACCCGGTGTGTTGGCCAGTCCTCCGCATGTTGGCAATGTTCGTCCCAAGCCGGACACCAGGACACTACAAGTGAACCAACCCGCAGGTAGGAGAACCGAGCCTTGATTGTGATTTTGTGATGGTTCGGAGACAAGATGTCATCAGCACACCCAGATATGTGTCCAAATAACGTCCTTTATTGATGCATATTGTCACCGATGGCCAATCTTTGCCATCCTTGTGACCAGATACATCAATAAAGGACATTTGGACACATACCTGGGTGTGCTGGTGACACCTTGTCTCTAGGTTTTATTTGGAGTGGTCATTTCAGCACCTATCTCATATAGGGGTGTACCGGTAAGGAGTCCGGTGGGATACCTATGATGACTGTTATGGTTGCTGCAAGTCAAAACAGCCCAGATGATAAGAGGCTTGCCAGTTATTCATTGGGTTGGCCCTAATTTTTTTTAAATCTCGCCCCCCAGTGTCCTCAGCCTGCTGTGTCCAAATTATAAAAATGTTACCAGATGGAGAATTCGGTGCAAGACTCTAATTCTATTTCATTATCGTTTCAGCTGGTGCCATGCCAAAACTCAACCCGGTCTCCTCTTATCAGGTAGAGTTGTTGGCAACCTGAGACGTCAGGCAGAACTTCATAGGAAGCTCGGTCTTTGTGCAACCATTTCTGTTAATGCCCTCACAAAGGGAACCTGCAACCCGGTCACCAAGGAATTTGATCTTTAACATTTGGCCATAAAATTCATTCAAAGCCAACACACCCAACTAATCCTTGGCGGTTGTGCCAAAATGGTTGTGCAACACCAGGCTTCTAAGTTGTTTGGTATGGAAATGGACCGCATTACATTAAAAGCTTTATATTCTTTGCATTCAATGCAAGGCACTAGAGGATTGACTGACCCAATGGCTTCCTACACCTTTCACAATCTGCAACCGATAAATCCCTGAGCTCCCAGCTATGCCCACCTCGTGCTGGTGTACCCTACATGTAGGACTTGCCCTCCATATTCTAGTTTTAATTTACCTTTCATTGCAGAGAAAATGTAGTTCTGGAATTCCTGAGAAACCTTACAAATCAGTAAATGAGTTCCAGTTCCTCAGTGTCATCCCACTAAAATATTAGTCTTGGATGAAGTGACCTCTTACATCATCTGAGACGTTCAAACCAGCCACTTCCATTCTTGGCTTGACTTACTTCTGGCAGCTGTATGTATTACGAAGTAGAAATGCTGGTTTGTTAACCACATGGGTGTAAAAACGCAACAAGTTTTCTACTCTCCAAATGTAGTCACCATAGACACTTGGGGGTGATAATGCTCTGAACTATTTTCAGTGGTGCCCAAGCGTTGTGTGGCCCCATAGACTTCAATGGGAGCACCTAAAAAAAATGTGAAAAGAGCATTTTTCATGCAATTTTGCACTTAACAAACATTTCCGCCTCCTTGTAACTAGCTTTCCATTGGCTAAAGCCAGAACTCTCAAGACTGAAAAAGCCTAAACACACTCAAAAAGATTTGGCTGAAAATGTTCACGCTCAAGTGTGAATGGGGCTTGCAAGTCTCACAATGAACCCCTATGTCCCCAAATACTGTGGGACCCATCCAGTCCTCATGGACACATAACTACACAGACGCACTTCCATGCACAATACTGGAACCTGTAAAGGTAGTGCTGTAAGTGCACTGTACCCTTTGTATTCTATATATATATATATAGAATACAGACACAAAAATATTTATAGGGTTATTCACAGAAGGGTGAAGAGTTTGGAGAAGGCAGGAGAAGGGAACAATCTAGGACAACCTCGCTGAAGTGGAAAGTGAGCTGAATTGGAGAATGTTTCCATATCAGCTATGTTGTCCCAGATTGTTCCCTTCTCCTGCCTTCTCCAAACTCTTCACCCTTTTGTGAATAACCCTGTTAAACTTAGTTTCTATGGTTGTCCCTGGATGGAAACCGATTTCTCTACAGAAGTAACTGGGCATCCTTCTCCAATTTTTTTTTTAAAATAAAATTTGAACCCCTCTAGCAGGACTTAAAGCGAGACGAGATAAACCATCAGCTTGTATTCATCCCTAAGGTTTTGTATGTGGACAACTTAAAGGGCAATGTCACACATTACTGATATTTCAGGTTATAGATGGATGACACCAAGTCAGGGACTCCAACTGGCTCTCTTGTTGCTCCACCATTAGAAGGACCATTAGAAGGACCATTAGATGACCATTAGAAGGACCATTAGAAGCTGGGAAGGAGCTCACTGTGTTGGTCTTTTTTGTTGTTTTGTTTTAGTTGTGTACAATGCAACAAAAGTTGTATAACCTCTTGTAGCATCCCTAACCTGGATGGTAATTTGCCAAAACTGCATGCACCCAAACAGTTTTAGATGGCCTGAGCCAAAAATAATCACTATATGTGCACAATCCTTGTACACACCACACAAAGGCATCGCCACTAATTAGCTGTAAAGTTTTAGCTAAACTATTGGAAGCTAATTTGTGGTTGCTATCGGTTATTACACATTGTTGTTGTTGTTGGAGCTGTGGTCATGAATTAAAATAGAAATTGGCAGGAACCCAAAAGAGCCAGCCAGCGATCACCTTTTTTTGTTCCGACTGCCACAAACTGAAAATAATAATAATAAAATATAAATGATAAATGATAATAATTATTAGTAGTAGTAGTATTACATTATAATATACAAATATTTGTATAGATGAAAGGTGAAATTCTATTGCTGCTGCTGTTTATTAAACAGCATTGCTCTTTGAATGAGCTGCATTATTTATTGTACAGTGCTGCAAAATATGTTGATGCAGATGTAACTTACATCAACCAGTGGCCATTTATATTTCATTGATCTGACTACATTAACCTGACAACCAATTTGCTGTTATATGGGTTATTGCTTCTCACATTACCATTGCTTCTGGCACTGCCCTTTTACATATTCCAATATGTCCAGTGGAATAATACGAGTAGTATTACCACCCCAAAACAGTTTACAGACTAGATTGTACATTATTACATTAAAGGGCAGTAACAAATATGTTTCTATCCATTGCCATTAGCCTGTACTGCAATATTTATCATTTTGGACTTCAGATATAAAGTTGTGTCACTCTAATCCGAGTCTTTTGTCTTTAGTAGGATTTAATGGTGATTTTTTATTTTTTTTTAGCATTTATTAAACATATTGTTAAGATTTAGCCCCCCCCCCCCCTCCCCCCAGCGTGACACCTATACTGGAGGGGAATGAGCACAAAATCTCGGCTTTTTTGCAGACATGTTGCAATTAATTTCTAATGGCATCCCAAATGCGCCCACCACAGCACGTGTCTTGTAGCAAAACTGCCATGCATTTTGGTGCGGTGTGTAGACAGTCCATAAACAATATATCATATTTATAACATTATTTTTGGCAGCCCAGAAATTAGATGTTCTTCCATTGTTACAACATTGTGTACCTAAGAGTGGGAACTCAGCACTGATGGTCTGTGATGTTGTGTTTATATAAAATTCCACACATTTCTTTCTTATTTGGATGTGTTCTACGTTTTGTGCTGAGCCAGAGACGTACAGGAATAATAGGCAGCAATAAAATGCATTCAAGAAGTGTCAGGGGCAGAGAATGAGCCGATTGTGTGAACAGATGCAGACAGTGAGCCTCACAAGAGCCAAGTTTCCTTCTAAAGACAAATGTTTACATTGAGCTGGAAAGGCAAAAACACGGATGATAGATAGCAGAGCTCTGAGCAAGGAACACCATTTGGATAATGCAGCTCCCAAAGGTCCCTCCAATACCAGCCTGGTGGGAACCAACTTGCTGGTTAAGATGGGGTTTTTTTTGGGCTGCCCTGGTAGTAGAGAGCCTGCAGGAATATTATATGCATAAAGTATGTAATCAGGACCGCATTTACTCTTTCTGCTGCACCAATGCCAGGTTCCTCAATGCGCCCCC